AAAGGGGGAACGCTGCTAGCATCATGTGCACCTTGCCGCGGGGACCGAATTTTATTCACACAATTAACACTTTCTAATATGGTAGATGCCGCTAATACTAAACAAAATAAAAGAATAGCCGGCACTACCAATGAAGATCTGTGCAATGAGCGCCATCTAGTTGATTTGTTTATTATAACTAGAAATTAGAGTAGATTAAATCTACTTTATTAAAATGCAGCTTGAGAATGTAATACAATTTTTTTTTATATCTTTATTTATTTAGCGGCTTTGATCGTTATGGAACATGTCAGCCCCTTTAGAAAAACGGTACGTCAAGAAAACTTTTAATAAAATCGAGACAGATAAATCAAAATACTACCTAACTAAACATGTAAACCGCACTACATGTTGGCTCCGACAAAACAGATTGAAACCACCCAACATTAAATATACGGAAACCAGCCTGTGCAAATAACTGCGCCCTGATAGGTTCCGTCCTAACACACTCCATGAGCAAATGATGTACATCCTCAGGAATCCCATACACTTCGCAATTCGGTGAGTTCACCTTCGCATCAAATACAAAAATTTGTTTGGTTACAAAAATAGCTATTTGGTACTCGTCCCGACATCTGGTGCACCAATAGGTACTAAATATTCGACTACGCTGAATTGTATCGCAACTAGCAGTCCTCTTGGGTTATTGGTCCATGATTGAACGCACACGTGAGCCTGTAGTGATAGGCTCAACTCACACTGGCGCGGAGTCGAAGCGTCGCGACGCGTCATGTTTTTCGCCTATAGCATATTGATCTCTATTTTCCCATTATTAAGGTACAAATTTGTGTTTTGCAAATATGGAATCGAGCATTTGAGCATTTGAGCGGCATCGCGCGCCGGCGCGCGTCGCCAGGCGTTGTAGTTGAACAACAGGACGCGACGCGACGCTTCGACTCTGCGCCAGTGTGAGTTGGGCCGTAGTGCGTAGGAAGTGGGGTTGCTTAAAGTTACTAGCTCTAATCGTAATTACACATAGTGTAAAGAAAAGAAATCAGACTTAGTTCTTGACTAAATTAAAAATCGCATATTCGCTATTCTCATTCGAATACGTATATAATAATATGTTGCAGCCGTATTGTTTAAAGCGACATACGGGAAGCCGGTTTGGGTAATTTTCAGGTAAGTTTTTTGTACTCAATTTTCGTGACTATTTCGTTTTATTTAAATATTTATAGAATATCATCGTGAAGTGTTATTTAATATTCGAGTGTGGTGACCTGAAATATTCTTTAATATTTCACGATCATATATTCGAGTAATTAAATAATAAAAATTGTCATCAAAAAAACTTACCTGAAAATTACTGGTTTGCAAAACGGCGCTGTTTTCTATCTCGGCCTCCTCATGTTCAGCCGGATTGCAATTCGCCTAAGAAAGTACACTGCAATGTAATCTGTTTAATGTTTCACAAAGCAGCTAAGACCTGACGCCAGCGCTATTATTCCAGACCCAGAGAGCTTTTATAAGCTGGTGATGATGCTGACCTCTTTCATCATCATCCCACTTTTTTATTATTCTTATGTTTAAAATGTTTGAATGTCTCGAATTTGTTTCTCCTTCACTTGCGTTTATTGGATCCGTGTCGTCACTCCCATCAAAACTCTTGAAAAGAGAGGACGTGCCCTCGTGACGTAAATCACAGATCATCTTCGTTTACTTATTGTTATACTTCACGATTACTATTAAAATTATGTAGACCCTTTTGGGGTCAGTATTGTGTATCCGTTCCAGAAGGAAGTTTTGAAATTATCGTTAATAATAAAGTAAATGTTTTCCGAAAGGGTTTGATAGTGATGAATATAAGTTGAAAGATGTATAAAGATGTATATTTTAATATCCTTGACATGCCATCTGCCTCAGGCTTTATGAGTCAACGGCAACTAGATGCAAATGGACCATTCTCATTTCTGCAATTTTTTTTGTGCATATGTATTAAAAAACGATATACTTGTATTACTTAAATTAATCGAAGTAGTTTATATTAATGTGATTTTTATTTATATTTACACAATATAAATATTTATTTAAATCATCATTAAGAAAGTGACGAAAATGTAACTTCCATGTCGTGTGCAAAGTCCATTTACAATGATACAAATTAAAATTAAAAATATTTATCTGTAATAAATATACTAATCTTTAATAGAATAAACTTTCTAAAAACACTAAATAATAGCAACATAAATAAAATAATGGATTAAAAATATTTCATAACGTTTGTGCATGAAAAAATTGTCACCTCCATGCATAAACTTCTTGAACGCAGCCATAATTTATTAAATCAGTCAACACAGTGTCTGGACAATTACCATAGAGGATGTAAATTACAGACAACAAACACAACGCCATCTTGAAAGTTTTTGACAGTTTGCCACTTCCGGGATAATAGTTTTGAGGCGCGTCGACGCCCGTTTCCATATTTGCAACACACAAATTTGTACCTTACTTATGGGAAAATAGAGATGAATATGCCATAGGCGAAAAACATGATGCGTCGCGACGCTTCGACTCTGCGCCATTGTGACTTGAGCCATAAGGTACGATTTTTCAAAAAATAGCCTGCTAATGCCGTGGAGTGAAACAATTTCCATTGTATATGGTACCTTTCATTTGAGACTACTTTGAATCATATCAGAAAACATTGTTTTTTTTTATTTTAAGTCTGCTTTTGACGATGGCCTAAATGTTCTAGTTTCATGCAATTGATATGAAATCGATACAGTCGCCGGTTGCGGCAACCGCAATTTGTATGAAAATATATTCGCTTCTAGTTGTCGGTCGTTTGTATCCAATACAAGACACACGTTTGCGCGACGCAAAACCAAATACTTGATTTGCTATTACAAATGCAAATTTTACGATGTAATAGTAAAATTTTCATTTGCAATAATAGGATTAATCTCCAGGTTTGAATTCCATCCTGGTGACGTTTGTGTATTCCATATCCATATTACGGTGACGTAATTAATTAGATTTCAGAATAAAGTGTACATGTATTTAATAGTTTCATTCACGGCAGTACTAATAGTTTATGTATATTATATTAATATTAGGCGGAATTTTATTGAGGAATAAGTCCGATCGGACTAACGTAATGGGAAAAGAGAAATCGAGAATGATTCAAAATTTAAAAAATAAGTGGTTTAGAATGGTGGGATGACTACAAAGTAGGTCAGCATAGTCACAAGGTCCACACCGATCGGGTTGTCGATCGGCAATTACAATAATTTCTGTAAGTAACAAATTAAGCAAAATGAAAAATCACTTCCATATTAGCACGTCATTCGGCTCATGTCACTTCTTCTACAAGGACTTGAGTACTTACTATATATCTATGGTACTTACTAATGAATATTGTAAAGTAACGAAGATAATAAGTATTTATTATTACTATGTTATACTTAACTCTCGTTGCATTCTTGGTGTCTTGTCAATTTTATACAATAAAAAGCAAGAGTTTTACTTACAAAACCGTGTTGTTCACTTTATTATTTATCATTTACCAAAATCAATTATGGAAAAATGTAGAAAATTGTAATTCCATTTGACTGAAAGTTTTAAGTTTGTGTGTGAGAGCGTATAAATTAGGCCACGTCCTCTGGTGACGTTGTCAATTGCTATTTGATTTGTTTTAATTAACCGACTTCAAAAAAGGAGGAGGTTCTCAATGCGACTGTATGTTTTTTTTGTATGTCTGTTACGCGATAACTCCAGTATTTGGGAACCGATTTTCATGATTCTTTGTAGTTGCTGGAAAGAGGGTACTTTTTTTTTTTTTTATTGCGACTCGGCAAAATGATTGCACCGCGCCTGATGGTGGAAAGTGCGAATACAGTCCAGAGATGAGAGTAACGGATGGACAACACAAATATCTTCACTCCGTCACTATCATTTTGCCGGTCTGGCCAAATGCTTCTTCACACTACGTTTGAAGGACCCGATGTTATAGAGGGGAGGGAATACATGCGCCGGGAGTTGGTTCCACAATTTGATGGTTCGGCATAAAAACGAATTGCCAAACTTTTTAGTGCGGGACGGTATTGAACTGACCGTCCAACTGTGGCAACGCAGTCCGGCACGGGTGGTCCGCTGATGGAAAGGAGAGGAAGGGATAAGATTAAATGGGACCTCCATAGTGGTCCCATTTAATTTTGAAGGAAATCATCCACCTCTGTTCGGGGTGGTTGTCCACGCATGAAGATTGATGAATAGCAAAATCAACCATTGAAATAATTGTTCCTTATAATAAAATTTAGGCGCTACTTATAACATTTTATGTATTTTTATTATAAGGAGCAATTACTTCAATGGTTGATTTTGTTATTCTCCAATTTAAGGCGTTTCTCTCTCAATATATTTTGGGTAGTGAGAATCGATTTTTATTATCTCCTGTGTCAAGTCCCGTATAGTGGCGAACTAGGGGATGAATCCGGGTTTGCGCACTTTCCGGTAACCGATTTCAATAAAACTTGGTAATCATATGTAATTCCACGTACTGTTGAGGTCGGTTTTCTTAGTACTCTGTACTGAGATTATTACGTATACAATTACTTATACATTCCAATTTTTTATTTTATAATTTCAATTATTAAAGAACTTGATTAAAATATCTTGTATTGTCTACCTAATTGCCTAGCCTATAAGTATGGATAGCTGCCTGCCGTGAAATAGCTTCTGGGATTTTTGAGACAGCACCTAGTTTCAATTTTCCTTTGCGGGACAAAAAATTATTGAAAACCGTAGTAGGTACAGTGTAATGTCGGCGGGAATAACACAATTTTTTCTAAGTTAAATAATATACAGTTCAAAATAAAACAAAGTTCATACAATAACCAAAGAATTTATTTAACATAAAGTTGTAGAGATAATGTAAAATTACAATTATTTTTTATTTGTAAAACTGTAACAAAATTTATAAGTTGTATAAAATTAAAGTGTAGATCTTTAAAGAGGAGGAGAAGTGTTATTTTTTTATTTTAAATATTTTGGTTTGTAGATAAACAAGAATTCGGTAATTTCTTAAATCTATATTTATACATACTACGTACGAGTATACTTATCGAAACGCAGCGAGAAAAATTTTTTTGAAATCCAATGAAATTGTTTATTTCGATATGTGACTTGAGATAATCTAGATCAAAGGTCACCATTTTAAGGGAAAATATTAAATTTAATTGTGAAAAAAAAAGAAACAAAAAAATAAGAAAGACTGCTGCGCTCCGGCAGAGCTTCGACCGCCTAGTTATACTCGTATATTTGTAGTATAGGAATACGTATGGTATATGTTCACAGTTACACTGTGTGTTATATGTAATGCAAGATGAGAATATTGTTAACGCGTAAAGCCTGGACTATGTGGTCAGTGGTCATGGGCTTGGCTTATATAGTGCCTGGCTCCGTTCAGTGTGTCAAAGGAGGCAGTGATGTATTCGATTTCTACTTACTATGTATACTTATCTACTATTTACAAAAAGAATATAAAAAATACATTGATATAACAGGCACATTGTGATGTTACTAGAATTTTAAATTGATACTTATTTTTGTAATTAGGCAAAGTTTACTGTGGAAGGTCCATACGCTGTCGGTGGCGTAAATATAAAAATGTTAATTTTTATGGGAGTTGTATGGAGACGTCATTTAGAAATTGCGACAACAGCATACTATGTCATTTTTGAAGACGGAGTAAAATGACAGTTCTAGGGTTGTTAGTTTTCATAAAATTTTAAATAGTTACGTAGTTGTTGTCGATAGATTTATCGATACATTGTGAAAGGAGATAAAATTTTGCCAAAAATGACTGAATTGTGAATGTTACGACATTTTAATGATTACTAATTGCGTTATTGCCTTCTTTATTCTTCTTTTGACAGTTGACCTACCATTGTCGAGATCAATTTTGATCATATACACGTGTTAACAAGAATAGCCGGATTTGATTAACTATATTGAATTAAAATGAAAAACTTTAAAATATGTTTCCTCTTTGTATTTTTATTCATAAACATGGTTCTAAATACAATGTATGTATGTATGAACTCGCAAAAATGGACAATTCAAATGAACTTATGCTCAGTAATTGGATGAATAATCGACGACGATTCAAATGAAACAAGTTCGGTTATTTATTCCACAAACGTGGTCAATATTCAGTCGATAACCAATAGAATATTTACGGACTGCAATCACTAGTTACTCACAAGCGGGCAACACTTTTGCGCAAAAGAACTGTCATTTTACTCTGTCTTCAAAAAATAGAGACCATAGAATAAGAACAAGTAGGGCAACTCCGTATCTCATAACAGCGCATCTTGTATGTGCGCGCAACCGAGACGCACACATTCGCATAATAATTAAATGCACGTTGAGACGACCAGTGTTGTGTAGCGCTAGAGCACCCATCCGTACACGGCGCATGGCGAGCGCGCACTTTAATGTAGAGCTACCAGACTTGTTCCTATTTGACTATGACAATATGGCGGAGCTATCTCTTCCTATTGTCCTACAGAGCGTTCCTAATCAGGAATGTAGTGAGCATTAATGCGTCTGTGACTAGCCTTATCATGATCTAGCTAGCTTTTAAATGTTATTCATATAGCTAAGGGTCATGTAGACAGATATTACACTACTTTTAAAACACATAGTATTTTGTTTGGCGAATTTTGACACTATGTATGGCTTAAATTTATAAAATTATATTTAAAAAATCTAATCTGACGAGAAGAAAATCTTTAACGAACCACCAATGGACATAGATCTCTCCAATCAGTTACGTCTAAACGTAGAAAATTGTAAATCAGCGGTTTTATAACACAGTTTACTATACTAAGCTAAACAAAAGAATGAAATTGAAAAAATCTAGAACTACAAAAAAGACCTATTCTACCAAGCGATAGCAGTATTATTTTGGCATCAAAATTTATTTACCTACCAATACACGGTACAACAATAAATACATTAATTTTCATTCATAATAAAAATTCACTTAACTATGTGTTAATACTTTCAGTTCATTAAATACGTTTAGTTTATTTATACAATTTTGAAGTGAAAGCATTATTTATACTTTTGACACAACCGCATTTATTATGCAAGCAATATTGTTATTATTGACAGAGAATTGTAGTCCGCTATATAATTATTATGTAAAAAATCCAACACATTTACATCTTTGGTACAATACCTAGTAAGGGTTGGTGATCACACGAACACTTCCTTCATTTTTGTATTCACAAAATAAACACAACTATACTTACGCTAATACAGTTAATATACTCGACGTCTAGGGAAAATGGTAACCGTTGCTGAAAATTTTGTCACTAATGCAAAAAAAACACTAAAAAATCCGAGGTAACGACTTGGCAAATTCTCAGGAACATTTTTTGAACCGATAACAAATAAAATTAATTTAAAACATCGACTACGTCATATGACACATTGGATCGATCGTGGTTACCTATGGAAATGGTCCTTCGAGCCGGATAACTCGAGTTTTAATATCACTGTCCTGCGGAGTTGCGGCTCAACGTACAGCGACGCCGTTGATGGTGACTACAGCATTGGGCCCCGTAGGCTCGGGCTCATAAGCAGAGTCGGTGTCGCTTCTTCTGCCATAAGTTACATTGTCTGCTAATCTCTCACTGTACGGAGAATCATACACATTATCGGTGACGTGGTCGTAGATATGTCTTCCGTTAGTGTCGTGCAAGGTAGCGTAGCTCATCACAGCAGCATTTTGGTCTTCCTTCCTTTCAGCGCCTTCTACGTTTTCCGTATTCTTCACTGGCGTTGCCTTCCTACTGTAAAACGAAATGTCTAAATGAAGTAGATTCTAAGAATGCAATTGCATTAATAAATTGTATAAGAATTCTTATCGTGGATAGTCTAATTCCAATCCTACTCCAAGGAAAATAACTTGTAAAAATACTTACAGTCTCAAATAAATGACTCCCAGCAATATAAGCAAGAAAAGAACCACTCCACATCCGACGCCCACACTGAGCGGTAGCGTTCCACTGTCACTCGCCTCATTCGAGACCAGTTCACAGCTTGGTTCTTCACCGGACCACTTCCCATCGTCCATGCATTTTCTAAGGAATGGGCCGACTCGTTGGAACTGCGGCAGGCAGTGATACTCAATGGAGCTCCCGAAGAGGGTAGATCCATTTGATGTAATGATTCGCCCGTTGTCAATTGTCCCTGGTGCCTTGCAGTCGATCGCTGTGAACCAATACTTTGTTATAAAACGCCAGACAATTGGATCATTTTGTCGCCCCAAATTAGGGACTTCCAATTGACATGAGGTGAACGAAATTAATTCGAGATGATGAGCAACACATATACATACACTTCAAGCCTTTTTTCTATCGTGGTAGGCAAAGAAAATATATAACAATAAAGGCTGTAATAAAAATAGGCTATAATATATAAAGGTTGATATTCTTGTGGTTCTATCATCTTGTCAATTTGATTGTAAACTACTTACGGAAACAGACAGGCGGTGACCCGTTCCACTGGCCTCTGGAGAGACAACTCCTAGTCTGGTTTCCCTTAATGCTGTAACCTCGTTCGCAGCGGTAGTGGGCCTCTCCGCCGATACTCAGCGTGGTAGTGACCACGACCAAGCCTGTGCTGCCCTTGGCTTGGATTGTTGGATCTGGACACGTAATTTCTGAGAAAAAAAAACCTAACTTTAGCGTATCTGTGGTTTGAATTTGTATATAGTATTGTGAATTTTGTATACGTCCAATAGTTTCGGAGAAAATTAATGGACATTTAAATCATTTTCTAATTAGTCCTGTAAGTTGGTATAAGTTTTGGTTTGAAAGAAATTCAATAGAAAAGCTTTCATAGATTTCCCACAGATCGCCATCTACGACAAAGTCTTTAAAAACCAAAAAGAAAGATCTGCAATATAGAAATGGTCCGCTAGTTCGTTGCGTCGCTTAGTTGGCATAGCGTCTGGCACAGTTTGCTGGAAGACGTTGGTTCGAATCCAACCGGATCTAAGGAATTTTATTTTAGTGTTCGATCTTTGTATTAATGAATTCAATTAGCATTTTAAAATCTTATTTATATCTCACTCGAAACTGTCTCATTTTGGCTCAGTCGAATGGCAGATCCTCTGCGACTCTTTCTATTGGCTAGTTAGTTATAAGTTAGGGATTTATTTAGGTTTGTTAGTTTTATCAACGGCAATCCTCTAACCTTTGCAAACTGGAGCTTCTGAGCTCCAAGTGCCATTGTCCTGACAGAGTCTTCTCGATACACCGTCGAGTTTCCAGTGCTTCTCACACTCGTATAATGCTGCTGCTCCGTAATACGTCGCGTTGGTGGCCAAGGTAACCTTTCCGTTCTCCAGACGCCCTGGGTTGCCGCAGTCCACATCTGATAGAAGTTGTGAATAAATTTAAAAGTTTTTTTTTTCACATGACAGTTAGCAGTAAAAAATATCAAACGAAACGAAGTGGTCGATTTTATTTAGAAACGCGGTTGCACACTACATCCGATACGTATTTGTTCGCAATCCAAGACTATACAAGTTTAAGACTATACGAGTTGCAGTAAGCCCGTTTTGAATCCGACAAAATATGATTATCACTTGTACACCTAGAGATAAAATGATCCCTGTGACATTTCGTCATTTTATCTGCTCTATTTAATTCATATTCGATTTTTACCCCGGATTCATTAATTGCTTTTTTATAAATGGCACAGATTTTGTTTTTATAGATATTTTGGTTCAGTCAGAGAATAAATAAGTAATGAGAACGGACACTCTCCGCCACTCCCTAGCTTTAGATACCACACCACGCCCCACACATTGACGGTCACATTGACTGAACGAGAACAAGGCTGTCGGCGAGCCGTTTTCGCGCTAAGACGGTTTTGATTTGAATATAGTTTTCATTTATTAATTACGAAATTTGTGCGTTAATATATAACATCATTTAAGTTACTATTTATAATGGTCGTGAATTGTGCTGAGTACGGCTGGTTATAATCATCTAAACGGGATAAAGAGAGGAGTTTCTTTCGTTTTCTAAGAGATGAAACGTAGTAAGTAAATAAACTTATGTCTGAGACTCATTCAGTTATGGTTTTCTTTAGTGCAGAGTAATATATAATACAGATTTATTATATCAATATAATAAGACGCCATAACTTCGTGAGCTAGACAAGGGTTCTCGAATTTTCTATTTTTATTGCCGATAAATATTACGTAGTGAATATACCTAATTATTAACTAGGTAATGATAAAGATTTCACGCAATTTCACATACTTTGGTTACCTTTTTTAAAGGTACCTGTCCAAAGTGCTTATAATATATTTTTTAAATAAATCATCAATATTATTCTAGTTAGTGAATTAATGAAAAATATAATATTATGTCGATATAAATCAACATGTATAATTACTAGGAAACTATAATAGAATTATAGATAACAGATTCGCGTTAGAATTTTCGCTACGTTGCCGCTCTGACCACGTAACGTAATAGTACGAGCAAGTCATGGGTAACCCTGCCACTTCACGCACACATTTGCGCGTGTGCAGATAGCGCCTTGCTGTATGTAGTAGCAGTAAGTAAATAATTTTCGACCGTTGTATGGAGTGTCCGAGGTGTGGTTCAGTGCTCAAAAGTCAAATGTTCTTTGACAAATTAATTTTTTCGTCAAATGTCAGTTTTTTTCCATAGTCTAAGGTTTTATTACTTACATTGACACTTTGGTGTGACACCACTCCATTGTCCATTATCCTCGCAGGTCGATAGACTTTCTCCAATCACTTTGTAACCTCGTTCGCACCGGTACTTCACCAGAGCGCCGATTCTATACGTATTCCCACTATTTGTGGATACAGACGTACGGATAAGTGTGCGACCGTGCATGCGATCGTTTCCAGTAACAGAGACAATACTGTTTTCTGCGACTACTGGTTCTGGGCAACGAATTTCTGAAAAAATAACGCAACATAAGTCGTAAAGAAATTATCAAATACAGTTTAGAGTTCCATAATATAATGCCAAAAAAATAAACCTTAACCCTTTCACGAACAGCATCGTAAAAATAAATATTATCGCTTTATGGATCTGAAGAAACCAACTAGTTTCCAAGTGCTTTCTGTATTGTTGCCGCCTACTGTTTTTCTAAAGAGAAGTATTTTTTTTATATTATCAAGTGACGGAACGGACAAGTCGTGCGCTTGATGGTAAGCTACACGCCTGACACAGTTGCACAGTCTTGCACAATCGCAAAGATCTGATCACTGCCACTGTGCCCGTCACCCTGAGATATAAGCTGACAAGTCCCATGTGCCTGTAATTCAACCAAAAGTATCAACAAAGTATTGACAATATTTATTGATTTACTTTTTTTTTATAACACCAAATGACGCAATGATCAAGTCATGCACCTGGTGCCTGGACCCCAAAGTGCCAGCTGGCGGATATATGGAGGCATACGACTACAACATACATTCAACCATCGACTTCCACTGCGAAAAAGGACATAAACTAATCGGCGAACCGAGTCTCGTCTGTCAGTCTGATGGAGAATGGTCCGGAGAATCGCCTAAGTGCGAATGTAAGTGCATTTAAGAGTCTAAGATAGTATAACTAGGTATAAAAAAAGATGCGCCTACTGTCATTAAAATTCTATCGAATTGATTTTTCAACGACTCATGTACCCATGTCCAAGTCCCACGTATCATCAAAAATCTCCGAGCTCCATCATGTACAGGCCTAATGTGGTGTTCGGTAACATTTTTTTTATAATACCAAGTGACGGAACGAACAAATCGAGCCCTGGTGGTAAGCGACACGCCAATCCATGACAATTGCAGTGACACTCAGAGCTTTAAATTGCAAAGATCTTAGGGTCATTGCGACTGCGTCTGTCACCTGGAGACATAAGTTGACTATCCAAATGTGCCTGTAATTTCACCACCTAAAACCGGAACACAGCATGCTCACGTTGCTGATTGGCGGCAGAAATAGGTAAGATGGCAGTATTTAACTTACATACGTTGAAGATTTTATTTTTTATTTCAATACATGCCAGGCAGATGTCTGCACTCCACCTGATGTTAAATGAAAAGTGGAATCCAAACGTGAAGGTACTTAGTGCAGTGTTGATACAATCATTGCCCTAGCCAGCTCCACCCTGCATGCCTGCTAGAACCTCTTCACGCCTCGTTTGAAGGACTCAATATTTAAGAAGCAGGGAATACATGCGCTGGAAGGGAGTTCCATTTGTAGACTGTGCGACAGAGAAAGGTGCCACCAAATC